TGGATGTAGAGAAGAGAAGATTATAGCTAGACAGGTACAAGAAATCACAATTTTTATAGTGGCACAATTGGCTCCACTCAGTTCTGTTTTTTCATTACACACTGATCTAGAGTTTTTAAATGTGCCTTTCACTAAGGAGGAAATAGAGGGAACCATTACATCACTACCGCTTAACACATCTCCAGGGCCCGACGGACACTCAGATGAGTATTATAAAACGTATTCAAAGGCTAACACCAAAATTGCTGAAGGTATTTACATCTGCTGCTTCCAAAGCCTCCTTTCCATCTGAAATGCTTGAAGCGATGATAATAACCTTGCCTAAACCTGGGAAAGAGCCAGACTGTGCCCACAATTTCAGACCAATATCTACTGAATGTAGATTTAAAAATATATGCAAAATGTATAGCGAACAGACTAGCAACATTTTTACCAGGTTTGGTTAAGCAAGACCAGGTAGGTTTCATAGCAGGTAGACAAGCACCAGATGCAACACGAAGAGTAGTAAATCTTATCCATCCAGCAGAACTATCTAGGAGTCTATCAATTCTGTTATCGTTAGATGCCAGAAAGGCCTTTGACAGAATACCCTGGGATACCTGTCTCAAGTTTTACTAAGATTTGGTATTGATGGTACATTCCATTCAGCACTATATTCTACTCTGTCAGCATATGTCTACACTGAAGGCCTGTTCTCAGACAAACTCCATATTACCAATGGTACGAGGCAGGGATGCCCTTTATCTCCTTTGATCTATGTGTTATTAATGCAACCGCTTGCCAAAAAAATTAGAACACATCCACAAATTACAGGTATTAACAGTGGAGGAAAACACCACACCATAACACTATTTACAGATGACATTATTCTATCATTATCCAATCCGGCTCTCTCCCTGCCTGCTGTGCATGAAACGCTGCAATTGTCCAATGCCATATCGTATTATAAGATGAAACGCTTCTAAGTCAAGTATACTAGGCATAGCTATAAACAGATGCAACGAAAAAATGACTGCAAAGCAAACTACCATATACGTGGTCAGAGGGCTCCCTTAAATATTTAGGTATAACTCTATACCTAAATTGGTTGCCATTTTAAAGCATTTGCGATCATTTTAGCTGAGCAGCCTATCATTTTCTGCACTTCTTTATATGTTTTCCCCTCTCCAATCAACTTTTTAATCAAGGTACGTGGTTCTTCTGAACAATGTCTAGAACGACCCATTTTCCTCCGAATTTCAGAGAGAAATGCACTGTAACCAGCATGTACAACATTTGCTGCCTTCCTTCCTTAAATAAGGGCAATAATTGCCACCTGTTTTCAAAGAATGAATGACCTCACTAATAGAACTCCACACTGCTATTATTTTGAACATGCCCCTTTCAATTAGTGATTCAATTACACAGAATCAGCAGCATGCATGTCATGACTGTTGGGTCTGTTGGATTTCTATTACTCTACTACACCTGCTAGTAAATTATTTGCCATTTAGAAATATCATTTCTACCAAAAACAATGATTGATCAGGTTAGTGATGTCTGACTGCTATTATTTTGAACACAACTGTACCTCTCTTCCAGGTGTCCTTGGTAAAGAAGACCTGTGATATCACTTAGCCATTTTCTTTCTCTGGCAGCGAGCAGACCCTAAAATGCTTCGGATAGCTCTCTACAGCATTCTCCAGTCCAGGGCTAGGGGCAGGCCCTGACACCCTGGGCTTGGAAGAAGTGGGTTTGATGAAGCTGGGTGTCATTCAATCCAGAAGAGGAGCAGCACCGGATTGATGGCTGCCATCACAGCACCAAAGATTGGTTGACTATAGCAGCCAGAGCTGCACTTTTATTTATTTTTTTTCTTTTAATAGTGTTTTTTTTTTTCTTTAATGAGATGCCAGGGATAACATACTTTATTGCCGGATCTGGACTTTAAGCAGGAAAGGCCCTGGAATAGAACATTAACCAATTCAAATTCTTTTGAAAATTAGCAAACTGAACAATCCTTCCACCACATCCTGTGACAGAGATCTCATTTTGAGATTTGTTCTTCAGAATGTAACCCTGACTGGATCTACAGTCTTCATTCCATAAAAAAAAAAAAAAAAAAAAAAAAAAAACTTTTTTTAGATTTCATATATGGCTGACATGGAAGTGCTGCTAGCATTCTTCATGATTAAAATGTCATCAGCGCTCTAGTGGACTCGTTATAGAACACATGAGCGATTCACTTCTTAACCACTTGCCTACCAGGAAAATGTTGACCTTTCACATCAGGGGTAGGCAGGGGCGGACTGACAACTCATGGGGCCCCCATGCAATAGGGGATCATGGGGACCCTGTGTCCTTGCCCAAACTCAAAAAAGCCTATAACAAAAAAAAAAAAAAAAAAAAAAAAAAAAGAAGGTACCAGGGGCATCTCATGGGTCCCCCTACTGACCGCGGGCAGTGCCCAAGTTTCCAAATGGTCAGTCCGCCCCTGGGGGTTGGCAACCTTAAAGAGGTGGAGATCTACCTGAACAACATGGGAGAAGTCAAAGATCACTGGGCATAGTGTTGCCTCCTCACACCTGATTTAAACCTCTAATTGCCGTACTACCGGCAATCATGTGTTTCAATAAGGTGATGAGGAGGCAACCCATCGCATCCTCACCACCTGTCAAACACACTGGGACCGCTTTGCACAGGAGCAGCAGTGCCTACTGCACCTGTGAATGAACCCTTAGTTGTAATTGGCAGAGGCACCCTAAAGGCTTGTTCACATGTAAAATTTGGTGGTGGTAAAACCCTGTGGTTAAATCATGTTTTTATCGCTCCTCAATCCCTACCCCCTTTAGCTGCTGAGGCAGCAGCCAAAAAGGTGTACACATGCAGCAGCAGGAATTACACCCTTACACCCCGTTGCTTTTGGCGGGTGCTACCACTTGTCAACCAAGACCCATTCAAGTAAATGGATCACTCTGTAAGTGCCCGGCAACTGCATGCTTCTGCAGGGTCCAAAGGCTTAAAGCAGGTGGTGAGAAAGCAACATACCGCTGCCTGTTTAACCCCTTGTTTGCTGTACTGCACAAGGTTGCAGGGCAATTGCAGAGCGGCCTCATTCACTTAAATGGGTCATGCTTGGCTGGTGCTACACCCACCAACCATGACAGGGCATAGGAGCAGCACTACAGAGGAGGCATCAACTTATGCAGCTCTTGCTCCCTACTACAGCTCGAATTTTAAAAGTAGCTCCTCTGTTTGATGGTCTGGGATGGCGTGTCAACAAGCCCAGACCACTTTCTACCAGTCACCTGGCCAAGATCTACGGATTGCTTTCCCCCGTTTCACATATTACAATCAGCATCTTTTTGCTAGAAAATTACTTAGAACCCCAAACCTTATACATTTTCTGAAAGCACAGACCCTAAGAAGTATAATGGTGGCTATTGAAATTTTTTATGTGTCATGATATTTGCGCAGCCGTTTATCAAACACCAATTTTCAGGAAAAAATACACAAAATTAATTTAAGTGCACATAAACATGACATAATACCCAATTTTTTTGGTAAAATATAAAACATGGTGTTGCATCAAGTAAATAGATACCAAACATGTCAATATTTAAAACTAGGCAAGCCTGTGAAATGGCACGACTTTGGAGTGCAACTTTGGATGGGTAAAACTTGGATGCAGCTTAGGTTTTAACCAATCATAACTAACATGGTGTGACACAGTTCCCTTCCCTGCTGTGGTAATTTCTTTTTCCTCATTACTTCCTGGTTATACCACTCATGCTCACTCCCATTTTGTCTTATCCATGTACAATGGGTCCTTGTAGCCAGGCACTGATGTATAAGGCGGGTAAGTTGCTCATTGTCCAGGAAATCCCTTTTTCATATGGATCTTCTGGAACTCATGTTTGCACCTAGGATCACAGCTGGATGTACAATGTACTCGGGTGGGGCTTCTCTAGCAGCAGAGATGGGCAGTGACAGGGGTCAAAGTGAAGACGTGACTTGTTGTCCCTCTGCAAAGTCTGATTGCATGTAAAAAACATTCAGGAACAACGTTCATGCAACGTTTGAGGGCGGACATTGAAGTCTATGGCCCATAAGTTGCATGAAAATCAGACCAAAGTAGTGCATGAACTACTTTTTAAGTCGTCACAACTTAAGTCGCACACATATGAATGGTGATCATAAGAAAAAATGGGGTACAATTTGTCATGCGACTTTGATGTCCAAAGTCATATGACAAGTGTGAATGGAGCCTAAAAGCCTGTGCAGGTTATCAGTTTAGAGTTAATTGTGAGCTATGCACTATAATTACTGATCTCACTGTGATGTTCGTGGTGATACCTCACGTGTGATGCAATCCCCACTTACATATACATGCAGGACCTCCCTTATGAGCCCTGTAAATGTACTTTTACAGTAAAGTGGATCGCCGGCTCTAAAAAAAACGATACCAGGATCATGGCTGCAGACATAATTCTGGTATAATTGCTTCCTGCCCAGGAGGAAGCTCTGAGGAAGGGAGTCCGTCTCCCGAAATGCGTTAGCACACCCGGTCGCAACACCACAACTTGCTGGGACTGTCACATTGGTTCCTTGCTTTTATTTATGACTCTTGGTTTGTGACTATACACTTGTCATTCTCAAATTCTTTTTTTATCACAGTAATGCATGAGAAGAGTGCACCCTTTTTTTCTCTTTTCCAGTATTATCAAGATTCCCAGATCTTTAGAGGGCTGCACCTCAGCGAGTGACCGTTACCATGCCCCTGGGACGTTTATGGACCTGAGCATTGGTTTTGCTTTTCTTTCTTGTATTATGTATGCAGGGAAGCAGGAGGTTAAGAGAGAAAGATTAAGTGCAGCTATCAATTGTGGTGGTGGGAGATCCAAGCTCTAAGAAAGCAGTAAGGACACAGAGGGTTTAAAACGGTTCTGTAGCCACTCAAAACAAAGGTATAGGTGGCGTTAAATTAATAGCAACAACTCATGTAAAATGAAATGCTATACCTTCTAAATGTTTCAATAATGCTCTTGTGCTGTTTCCGTGTGCTGAAATAAGAACCCGTTTTCCCCGCTTTACTTCTGGTGCAATCTCCTCGTTCCAATAAGGAAGAAGCCTTTCCAGGACTTGCTTCAGGCTCTCAGATTTTGGCAGCTTGTCCTTCTGAATGTCACAACATGTATACCTTCGATCAGTGTGTATCTCGTGGTAGTAAGGGTGGCTCTCATGTATTGGTGGAGGGGCCACATCGTAGCTCCTCCTCCAGATCTTTACTTGCTCTTCTCCATGATTCAGAGCCAGTTCTGCTCGGTTGAGGCCAATAAGAGCCCCGTAATGGCGTTCATTTAGCCTCCATGAACTCCGAGTTGGAACCCATTCTTGGCCAAGCTCTTCTAAAACCAGCCATGCTGTTTGGATAGATCGGCTGAGGATGGAAGTGAAGACCAAGTCAAACTCAAAGCCCAGAGACTTTAAATGTTTTCCGCACTTCTCTGCCTCTTTAAGCCCTTCCGCGCTCAGCTTCTGGTCCACCCAGCTGCAGAATCGGTTTTCTATGTTCCAGGCACCTTCACCATGCCTCAGCATGACCAATTTATATTTTGACATGTTGATTGTGGTGTTTAGTTACCAGGAGGAAAACTCCCTTCAGATTATTCAGAAGATATTACCTGACAAAGAAAGGAAAAAAATTAATTTACACTTGCTGAAATGGAACAAAAAGAGGCTCAGAAGTGCCAAGGTTAGGTTGTCAGTTCACTGAAAGCTGTGGGAGTGTCATTAACCACTTCAATACCAGCATGTTACACCGCTTACCTTTTCAGGACATTTTCAGTGCTATGACAGTTTGACTGACAGTTACCAAATCATGCAACAGTATACCCAAACTCATTTTATATCATTTCAGTTAAGACACACAGGGAGATTTACTAAAAGAGTGCAAAATCGGGTGCAGCTCTGCATAGAAAACAATCAGTTCCCAGGTTTTATTGAACAAGCTGAAGTTAGAAGCTGATTGGCTACCATGCACAGCTGCAACAGATTCTGAGTGCACGTTTTAGTAAGTCGCCCTCATAGCACATTCTTTTGGTGGTATTTAATAACCGCTTAATTTTTTTTTCCATGTGAAAGGAAAAAAAGACAAAAAATTTTAGATAAGTCCATCTTAACCCCTTGGCGCCGGCGCCTCCCGGTCCTTTAAGGGTTTCAGAAGCCGGGGTGTGGTTTTAGGGTCATGTGACCGCCGTGATTCGCTGTCACGACAGTCATATGATCGGGAAAGGTCCGATCGATAAAGGAGATCGGGACTTCCGTGAGTACCGGACATGTGTGCTGGGAGCGCGCACTCTCAGCACATATGTTTTTCTTAATTGCGCGCAAATGTGCTGCCCCTCGGCGTCAAGGCCCAGACGCCAGGAGGCCGCTCATTTGCGCGGAATTAAGAGGTTAAAGAGTATATAAACCCAACATTTCATATTCCTGACATGTGCCTGCTGTACCATGTACTTGTATGAAAGTATCCTGTTTTTTTTGTATTGCTTCCTTTGTGTGAAAGCCCTGGAGTTCCTACAAGTCCCTCTGCTTTCCTATTAAAAGCTGACCACACTAAGCAAGAGAACACATCATGGTCACATCTCTAGCTAAGCTGGGAACTCAATCTGTTCTCCAACAATCAGACCTGTCTTGATATCCCCCTTTCCCCACAGCCTTTGACTGGGAAGATCAGCGTTCTGCTGTTTCTCCTCACCCAGCTCTTATGTAGCAGCAGTGGAGAACAGAGGGAATGTGATCACTTATAAAAAAAAAAAAAAAAAAAACATTTTTTTTCTTATATCTATACCCCGTTTTGCCTTTCATTTCTAATTTAAACTGAGTGGGTTGTTTCACAAGGTAAGGGTTTACAGTCACTTTAAGCAAACTTTTTTCAGCTCATGCTACACAGTGTCTGATCTATGCAAACGAAGAGCAAAGTAAGAACAGCATTACTGCTCATGGCAATAACTGAAGTGACGCAAATAACATTGACTTTCTGGGTGGCTTTTTCCATAAAGGATTCTCTTACTACATTTGTTCTGCAATGATTATGACCTCACTTCTTGACATCCAGATAGCAGAGCATTGGCATGGGCATATTTATGAACATACATGGGCAATTTTATTCTGTCAATTTTTAGAAATTAAATACAAGAAAGAGCATTTGCTAGTCTACAATTCAATTGCAAAACAGCTCTCTGCATGAGTTGCATTTGGAACAAGTAATTAAAATGAAGCCCAAGGGTGAATTAAAATGCATTCAACACTCCGCAGAACACAAACCTTAGATATTAACTACATACACAACAGGGCATGATTCAATCAAAAGTGACACTATGTTAAAATACCATTGGTAACAAAAACAAAAAAAACAACAAAATACACTTTATAGCGAAAATTATGTGGACTTTCCTTCAAATGTAGATGTTTCCAGTGAATATTACTATGCTTACTATACAGCACACAACAAGACATTTTAAATAATATGCACTTCCAACCTTGTGTTAACAGTCATGTTCCAGCATGGCAGTGCCCCTTTGCACAAAGACGTCTCCATAAAAGATGTGTTTTGATGAGTTTGGTGTGGAGAAGCTAGAGAGGCCTGCACACAGCCCTGACCTCAACACTACTGAATACCTTTGTGATGAAACTGAATGCAAAATGCGGGCCAGGTCTTCTTGCCCAACATCAGTCCTGAAGAAGAAAAGCCATTATAGCCACTAATGTGAGGTCAAGTGCATGAATTTGGAATGCAATGGCCAACAAACTTCTATTTGTGTGACAGGTGTCCAGAAAAGTTTGTCTGTATTGTGTTATATAGTTATTTTACCAAATCACCTTATTCCTGTAACAATGTGGAGGTCAAGCAGGGAGAACCAACTAGAGCTGCAGGGGGCCCCAGGAGATCAGCATTCCCCTAAGTGTCTGTTTCCCTGTGAAATTTGGGGAACAATTCTTCAGGGTGCTTGGTGGCTTGGCCAGTGGGGGAAAAAAAAAAAAAAAAAAAAAAAAAAAAAATGTATGTACACTGCTTTTACGTATGCCTCCAATGAAAAGGTTTTGTGTATTGATTGCTTTAGGCCAGTGGTGATAGGACACCCGGTGCCCATGTTTATTCCAGGCTAGTTAAAGTGCCAATAGATCAGCATGGCAGACAGGCAACTAGTATTTTCAGAAGAAAAGGTCATCAACTAGTCTACATATTTCTTGCAGTTCAAGTGCCCTACAAAGAACATGTCTTTGTAACTATGTAACTACAGTGCCTTGAAAAAGTATTCATACCCCTTGAATTTTCAACATTGGGTCTTGTTACAACCAAAAACGTAAATGTATTTTATTGGGATTTTATGTGATAGACCAGTGGTCCCCAAACTGTGGCCCTTTGTTTGATTTTATCCAGCCCTTGGGGCACCATTCCTTCCACTGATACAAGGCACTATTCGTGCCACAGAGACCAAAAATGGGGCATAATTCCTGTCACTGATACCAACAAGGGGGCATCTATTCCTACCACTGACCCCAGCAATGGGGCATAATTCCTGTCACGGATATCAATGATGAGGCACTATTCCTCCCACTGACACCAATAACAAGGTGCTATTTCTACCATGGGCATCAATGATAGGGCACAATTCCTTTCCCTGATACGAACAGTGAGACAATGTTCCTCCCACTAATACCAATGATAGGACATTGTTTATTCCGATTAACGCCAGGGCATGGTCTACCCACACTGGGCACAGTCCAGCCCCCTCAAATTCTGAAGGACAGTAAACTGGCCCTTTGTTTAGAAAGTTTGGAGACCCCTGTAGACAACATAAAGTGGCACATTAGTGTGAAGTGAAAGGAAAAACAATAAATGGGGTTCCACTTTTTTTTTACAAATGAATATCTGAAAAAAGTGTATTTATACGGAGATTCAAATTACACACAGGTGGACTCAATTTACTAGTTAGGCGACTTCTGAAGGCAATTGGTTCCACTAGATTTTAGTTAGAGGTATCAGAGTAAAAGGAGCCGAATACAAATGCACGCCACACATTTCAGAAATGTATTTGTAAAAAATTTTGAAAATCATTTATTAATTTCTTTACACTTCACAATTATGTGCCACTTTGTGTTGGTCTATCACATAAAATCCCAATAAAATACATCTACGTTTTTGGTTGTAACATGACAAAATGTGGAAAAATTAAAGGGGGTATGAATACTTTTTCAAAGCACTGTATGTCAGGTACCTATCACACATGAGACCTTAGCCCTGCACTAAAGTTTCACCCTCTCTGATTATTTTAGAACAGAGTTTGTGCACCATCATGCAGTGGTTTTGACCCATAACTTGGTTGTAACAGCTATAGTATATTTCCAGCTCCAATCCCACAGTCGTTCCACCCTCTCTACCCCTTTCTAAGTGCCCTAAATACACAATTTTATTTTGTCCTGTGGCTGGAATGTTTATATCACAGGTTCTTCTGCTTCTCCTCTGGGGTGGGTTTTCCTTACTGCAGCACTGAAGGGTGCTCACATATCGACATCTGACTGTGGTTTGGGTTTGCTGTACTGTAATGCTAGGCCAGCGTGATGGCGCACATCATGGGTGTGTCTATGACAGCCTGGACTCACAGGAAGGGGCTGAATGACACTCCTCAGAAGTGGATGGAGATGAGCAGTGGAGGAGGACAGAGAGAGCAGTACTGGATTATAGATAAGACAAGTACTCCCTTTAACAGTAGGACTAACAGAATTAACAAATAGATGGAGTTCTGCTTCATTATCCACCCTCACAAGATCCCAATAAATAAGCCAAGCCAAACTTGTACGCAGGACACAGTGTTCAGCACCAAAACAATCTGACACCTGCAAAATGTACAAGACTCAGCAAACGAGGCTTAAACCAACTATTATAAACATGACACACAGGCTTCCTGTTCTGCCCCTGGAGGGGGGGGGGGGGACCGGCTCACACAGATGTGAATGCAAGGAAGTGACAAATGCATTGGACACCAAGATGACATGGAAAAAGTCGGGTCTCAGAAGCAAAATTGAAAAAAAAAAATACTTTGCTTCTGCTTGAAGGCGACATATCATAAAACGTCATACACATGCCAACGTTTTAAAATAATGGCGAAGGACAACTGCTAGAGAAGCTTGTATAAACATGCTACATAAATGCTGTCTCACAGCTAAAACTGTTTTATACACAATCAAGAAATGTTTATTCAGTTGTCATGGGCTTGTCTGAATATTTATAAAGTTGACTGCCAACAAATATTAACAGACGATCAGGTGTGGTAAGAACTGGGGGGGAAATAACAAAATTGATATATTAGTAACTGGGAGTCATCCGCCACATATTGTATAGTAAAGTGACTCTGGAACAGGAGAAGCATGGGGGCTGAACCGTTTAGTCTAACTTCAATACTTTGAGTCACAAATATGAAACAGGCATGCTGAAATAGTGTCAGAAAAGGTGTCACAGTTCCCTATTTCTAAACTTGTTCCAGATCAGCCATATCCAAAACCAAACAGAATATTGCAATATTCCATCTTGAAGAATATGGAAACCAAACATTTCA